AAATAAGTAAATTAAAGAGCAAAAAAAAAAAAACTTTTATGAATTATTATTCAATTAAATGTAAAATATAAATTAAAAAACAAAATATGAGACTCACCTGGTCCAGCAACAATCCATTTTGATTGATGAAAAGCGTAACGATACCTTTTATTATCAATGCAGGTTAAATCGACCATTAATGAGTAACGTACGGTTGGTTCTAAGCCAGAGATTGCTACTTGTAATGTTGGAAACATTCGTCTATAATAATAAATGAAAAGAGAGAGAGGGAGAGAGAGAGAGAAAGAGAAGGAAAGAAGGAGAGAAAAATACAAAAATTAAAATAATTTTATGATTAAATAAATTTGTCATAAATTTTTGAAATGATATATTATTTATCTGTAAATGTTACCAATTATTTATTAAAGTAACTGCAAAAAGAAAAGACTCAGAAAAATTTATTTACATACATTTAAAATTTATAAAGCTTTTATTTTTATTGCTTATTGTTGATAGTGATGTATTTTTTTTTCTTTTAGATTAAAAATTTTATATTCATACTTTTTTTTTTTAAATTTTATTTTAATTTAAATTATGTAAAATGATTTTTATCATAAATGCTAACAACTCTATTTGATTTGTAAGGTATAATTAATCTAATCTTAATTTTTACCTCACAAATATAAAATGTTTTGCCATCAGTTTTGTGGCTTTTCGAAACAGCGGCAATAAATAAAACTTAGAAAAGGTCAATGTGACATTTAATTAGTAATGACCTAATTAATGTCTCATGCTATGACGATAATATTATCAGATGATAGGCAAGTGATAATTAAATTATGATAATATGCATGAATGAAGTATGCTACACTTTTCATCCATTAATAATTTATCATTCATTACCTAAGTTTCCGAGTTAGTAAAGTTAAAAAACTGAATTTTGAAAGAAATTTTTAATATCGAAGTGCAATAATAAGCTTTTAGATCGACTTTGCATGCAATCCTAATAAGCCTGAATATGCTTATTTAAAAAGATTATTTATAAATAACCTTATTTGGGGTTAAGAAAGAAGATATTAATAATAGAAAATTTACATGTTTTCACCTGTATGACTAATATTATGAAAAACTTTGCTAATTATTATATGTCAAGGTAAAATTAATATTTAAGGAAAAGTAATCAAAATTATGAATAGCTAAAATTATTTCACTTTTAAGAATGTAACTATTAATATCCAATTATAATTAAGGTAAAATAGAGAAAAGAAGAAATATTAGCCTAGAAATCCTACTTCTTCACCAAATGAGTGAATTTTGTCCTAGCATTCGTTTCTTTAAATTATAATTACTTCACTCTTGAGAATAATTGTTGATATCCAATTACAAGGAAACAGTTTAAAAGATCAGAAGTTAAAGCCAAGAAAATTACATTAATTATTAAAGTTAATTGTAGATAATATTAGAATTAAAATATCTAAAAATTTTGATATAAATAAGTACCATTTTTGATTTGAGATATTCACAAAGTACTATTTGTTACATCAAAAGCTGTCATACATATTTTGTCAAAATACTTACTTCTCTCGGTGATTATTAAGTAATATATTTTGTAGAATATGAACTATAATAAAAAGTAAAATTGGTAAAAGTGAGAAAGTGTCATTGTAGGTGCATAAACAAATAATTATTAGCAATTCCATTAATTGTAATTTATACTTATTCATTTTTATTATTTATGATTTGAGGCATATTAATTACTTATTAACAAATACTTCCTACAGAATTATTTGTATTTAATGCTAATTTTCGTTCAACATTTCAAGAAAGACCAATCATTGTTTATTTTTTTATAAATTCGATTAAAATGTTTTCTCATTGTTTTTTTTCTTTTGTTTCTTTATGATTACCAAACGTACATTCAATTGTTGAAAAGGTGAGTGACATATGATAATATTGTAATATTAAATAGCTTCCATGCAATTAATCTTTTGATGATATCAATAGTTATGAAATTTATTTCGAGTATAATAGTTATGATTTCAATCATAAATGATAACCAATGGATAAAAATAATATTAATAATAATAATGTACGAGTAATAATAATAATAATAACAGTAGTAAGTAATAATAGTAATAACAATAATAAGTAATAATAATAACAATAATAAGTAATAATAACAATAATAATAATAATAATAATAATAAGTAATAATAATAATAATTTCGAAAGAGTTCAACTAATTAATAAAGTGATTAATTAAAAATTTCTTGCTATTTTATTTCTTCCTATAGTCAATCATTTCTAGCACTATCCATTCTGAGGAAAACAATAATAAATAAAATGACAAGTTACTAAAAGGTAACAATAACAATTATTATGATTTAATTCAGTCTATTTAATTAAACAATAATAAACAAACATGTTTTTTTTTTTTTTAAATTCACTTTAACATTTAACTTTTAATATAATTTATTAATTGTAAAATGTGAATGTAAATTAAAATATAAAAGATAACAATGAAAAAGAATACTACTGTCTGTAACTAATCATTAACTTACCTTCCAGTTTTTGTCACAATCATTTCAGTACCATATGCATGAAATTTATTCCATAATGTGGCACCTTCTAAACGCACTGATACATTACGTAATGCTGAATGATAATCTTTCAACATAATCGATGATTTCTTCGTTGTCAAATTATGATTGAAATTATTTTCAGTATCAATAATGGTACCATTACTATTAGTATCATAATTAAGTGTAGTTTTTGATATTACAGGGAATAATTTTAGAGTATCCGTTATTCGACTTTTGGCGACGTTCATACAATTATTATGAATTTCAGTATTAACATTATCATTATCATTATCATTACTATTATCGGTTACAGTATCACCGATCAAATATGCAATGCTGAAAGGCTTTGCAGACATGTTGACGCCTTGATAGAGGAAGTTTCACATCACACTAAAAGCAGCGATAGCTGATATTACTACAAGTGGTGCGGGTGCTGGTGCTAGTGGTGGTGGTGGTGGGAGGTAGTATGATGGTGATATGATGATGTTTGGCGGTGCTAATGTTATTGTCGGGAAATTGGGGCGTCGTCGGGAAAAAAAATTCTGAGAAGTGTAGAAAAGATGGGATCAGATTTCGGAAGGATAAGGAAAAAAAATGGAATTTTTGATTATTTTGTCGCGAGAATGTGAGAGTAACAATGATAATGATAATAATAATATTAGTACTAAGAATAAGTAATGGTGATGATGATGATGATGATAAGGAGGAGGAGGGGGGAGAGTTAAATGATAGTGAGAAGATAATGATGATAATGATAATGATAATGATAAAAGCCGATGATAGAAGTAATGTCAAAGTCATCACAAATAGAACGACTAAAACACATGGTGAATTGGAAAGTTTTATTTCCACTAAGCTATCATCTATTACCATCTGGCAGCAATATTACAGTAGTATTAATAATAGCTTTCACATATGATTCTCACAATATACCGTACAATTGATAGATGTGAAATTGCATTGTATCGATCTCATCAATCAAATAAATAGTGATGATGATGATAATGATAATAATGATAATGATAATGATAATGATGAGAGGAGAAGGAGAAGGAGAAGGAGAAGAGCAGAAAGATGATAAGAAAAGTTGCAAAGTAAATATATAATATATATGTATTATATATCGTTGATTTAATATCAATATAAATATTTCGTTTTTTTAGAAAAAAATTACAAAATTTCATTTAGCAAATTTATCTTAATAACCTTTTTGAATATATTTATTTAAGAAAAAAGAAGCAAAAAGGAAAAATAAATAAATTTTTTAATGAAAAAAGAAATGAAAAAAAAAATCTTTTGTTTCACAAATGAGATGAAGTAATTAATTAATTGATTTCATTGATGAAACGATAAATTAATTGGCCAAATCTCATATTATGAAGTATCATAGATTAATGCCATATGAAATAGAAATAAATGTTGCTATAAAGATATCATACAATTATTTTTATCACTAACAACTGATATGTATCATCACGAAGTGATTGAAAAAAAATAACATTTACAGAATATTTGTAGAAGTTAATTTAATCCAGCAAAAGCCCATAAAAAATAATAATTTAAAATTTCTCACTAAATTTTTCAAGTTCCATTACTTATGAATTGAGTAGTACATTTTAACCAATATTTTTAGTTTCCTTTTTAATAATTTTCGTGTGACAGAATAATAACTTTTGCTTTTTCTTTTTCATTTCTATGTGTTTATATTATAACTAGTTTAATTTAATTGGTATTATTACAAATTATGAGCATTCTATCTTATTTGTTTGCAAATTTGATCTATTTTGACAAATTTTTGCATGGTTTTAAAAAATTTATTAATTATTCTAGGTTTTATTTTTGAAAATTTTTATCAATTATTTCAGGCATATACTGTAAAAATTTTAACCTTATCAAAATTCAAAGTTGAAGATAAATCTTATCAAACTATTACTATCATTTGGCATATACTTTTTTTTTTTTATTTTCTACCCAACAGAATAGCAGTAGTTCATGATGGATTAATAGGCCACTTTGCTATTGCTATTAACCACAAGGGGAAGATGATGCGATCGAAACATCTGGTAACATACTGACAGTTCTAAGGGATTTATTCTTTCTCCAATATTTCAAAATGTTTTCAAGATGTTTCGATCTGATGGAGATTTATGAGTCGGAAAAAATTATAGATCTCTTTTCTAAATACTTCATCGTAAAATACTTTTAATGATTCCTTGATTGGTTTACAATAAATTTTAAAGTTTCCTATTTGTTATTTCCTATTTTAAAAGATTAAAGATCTTTTGATATATATTATCAATGCAAATATGCAAATACTAACAGTAATAGTAATAGTGATGATTTTATAGCAATAACAACTACAGAAATAACAAACAACAACAACGATAATGTCATTTTATTTACAATAGAAACAATAAAATGGCATAAGTGCTACCATCACTAATCTCGTTTTATCTGCCTTGCTATAAGTAGATAATCCAATGTATATTTATTTTGATCAACTCTGAAAATTATAAACCATATATTTTCTTAAAATAACAATTAAACAATAAATTTCGCTAAAAGAACAATTTATCAATTAGTTATATATATATTTCTTTTTTTTTTGAACTCAACTAATCTATAGCAAATAGTAAAATGCATATTATCGTTCATACAAAAATTGATAAAATTAATTTAATAATAAATTTTAAACCAATAAAAATTTGGCATTGTTCAATATTTCAATCGATTATTGGAATCTTTTTGTTAAATTCAAAAAATCTCTTACATGCAGTGTGATATATAAAACTTTTACTGGGAAAGAGCTAGAATAACGAGGCAATACACATTACATATAATGTTAAGACTTACAGTTTTGTTATTTGATTTGCATAATCGGATAAACGTTGTTGTAAGGCGGTTAGGGAAGTTAAGTTAGCAGCTCGATTAAGTTTTATTTGATATCCATATTCCATTAGCAAACTTTTCAGCCAAAGCTGCCAGAAATGAATATGTTTCTCAATAGAACCATTAATATTTTCAGCCAGCCATTTCAGTAATTTCTCCGCATAAGCAATAGACAAAGAACGCGTAGCTATATCGACTGAAATGACATTCAAAAAATTGTCTCTTAAACTGAATATAAACTCTTCGTTTTAGAATAAAGCACATTTAATGCTTTATTCAAATACAAGTAAGAACAACCTTGAAATTTTAAGAAATATGAAGTAATAATTCATGACCTACAAAAAATATGGACTAACTTCTAGTAGCAATAAAAAATTCTAATCATGAAATTCCTCTAAATTTTGAAAGACCATTTGCAAATAAGATAAATTTACTTTGTGCTACGGGTGTACACAATAATACGTTTTCGATTATTTCCAATTGATTCAACTGCAATGCCATTTTCAGTGCTGCCGAATATTCTCCTTCTTTTAATGCATTTTCAACACTAACTGGAGTTACTTGTATCCCAAGTTCAAAAGGATTGAAAAGATTACGATGATCGAGGGAGAATATAGCAACACCTTCTGTTGAACAAACTGCAAAACTACGACCTGAAAGAAAAAAAATTAACTATACTTAATTATTAGGAAAAAAGTAGCTTTATGATGTCAATCTTCGAAATGAATTATCTTATTGTACAGAAATTTCGAAGTAATTTGCAAAATTATGAACTAATTACCTGCAGGTGAGAAATTTATATCTTCAACGCGCATTTCTGGTCGAGAGGATCGCTCAGAAAGATCTGAATGTCGAGTACCTGGGAGTTTTATACGTTTCTTACCATCCGCTTCTTCTTCGCTATCGCTAGCGTCAATTAACATCATATTACCAAACTCCGAGAAATTACGCCGATTTATATCCATCTAAAATCAAGGCATACAGAAATGTAAAATTGATTCAAATTTTTGTAACTTTTTAAGTAACATACCTTAACTCCATCCAAACTACGATTCGTTGTTAATTTCAATTTCTTTAATATCAAACGTTCCGCAACGCTATATAAACATATGTAATTCGATTGGCCAGCAGCAAGAAGTAATGTACCATCAGCGGAAAAGCATATGCATGTAAATGTCCTTAAAAAAAAAAAAAAAAAAAAAAAACTAAAATTATAAAAAGTTCTCAAAAATTGAATGATGAATTATTATTCAAACATCTTTTAAGATTTGAGACAAAACTAAAATTACCTGCTCTTTTCACCTGTTTTCTTTTTAATAAGATCAGTGGCTTTGCGTGCAGCATCAACATCAAGAGCTGTATCTATTGTACCAAGCTCCGTAGATGTCTGAGTCTCGAAAAGACTCACTGACGAATCAAGGCATAATACCTAGAATATGACTTTTTTAAAAAAAAATGATTTATACCTATCAAAACCACTTAATTAAAAGAGAAGAAAAACTTACAGCAAGTATCTCACCACCAGGCGAATAAGCAACATCAAGACCTTCGTAGAGCAAATCTATAGTTTCTGCTATAGATGATTCAACAACATTCCATATACGAAGAGTTTTATCCCAAGATACTGAAGCCAAATGTGTACCTAAAAACTCACTTTCAAATTCCATTTGAGAAAGAATGAAATAAAATTTAAAAACTCAAATCCTATGCATACTTCACATTGAAACTTGAATGTATAATAGAAGAATTTCATAATGTTAATCCACGACCTTACAATATAATAGAGGGCAAAAGCAAAAGGCAAAAGTTCTTTTATTGTAAAAGAAATAAAATTAATTTTCCAAGGCACACACACACAGAGACAGACGTACACTAACCATGAACAGAAATAGAAGCAACTGGAGCTGAATGTCCAGACAACACATCCAGCAATTTTCCATTCTCGAGACTCCACACATAAATGGTGAACATTTCTTTGGAACTTGCCATTACAAGTTCGGCAGCCGAATCAACTGCTAGAGAGCCAAGCTGAGTCTTATCAGGACAAACCATTGTACGGAAATTGCGATATCTATAATGCTCATTGTGATATTTGTTAATCTTAACTGAACTTTAAGTCAGAAGATAAATTTTTTAACTTGGACTAACCTAATTAGATCATGTGCTCGTACAGTTCCATCTAGTGATGCTGACAATAAAGCTTTACCATCAAAAGTCCAACAAACCGCGCTTACTCCACTGCTATGCTCGGTGAATGTTACAACACAAAACAAAGACCAGCAAGACCAAACTTTCACCTGAAATATTGAATTCAGTCAAAATTTTTAAGATACAAATGTCTTGTCAATGATGAAGAATCTATTTTTAAGAAAGTATTTCTTCAGAAAATGAAATTTTGACAAACTATAACAATACAAAACCATCAATTTTTATTTGAAGAACTGTTTGGAAAAGTCACTGAAACATAAGAAAAGGAAACCTTTCCATCTTCAGCACCGGTAGCAATTTGAGACCCATCAGGTGAATAAGCAACTGTTGTAATGGACTGACTATGTGACTGCTGTTTCATAACGTAAGTTTCACTTTGCCACTCCCAAACTACTAACTGACCTTCTGTTCCTTTTCCACATGCTATTGCTATCCAGTCACCAGATTTGTTAACAGCTAGAGATGACACCTTTGTTTCCGACACCCTTTATTTGAAAAAAAAGATTACAATCCTGCACAAATCATAAAGTCATAAGTAATCTGAATTATTCTAATTTGGGAAATAAAAAATAAGGACCTAAATCACTAATTTATTTCAAGATTTTCTATATTATTAGAGAACAAACTGGATATATCAAAGAATAAAGTTGGCATCTTAAACTACTTAATTTTTTTTTTGTTTAAAGAATAATCGCTAATACCGTCTACAGAGAGGCACGTGGAATAATTTACCGTAAACTGTAGATAAGATTAAAATTTGGTGTTTCATGCAAAAGAAATGCTCCATTTGAAAATGCGGTGATCAACATTGATGTTGGTGCATGGAAGCTACTTGCTGTGAGATTAACGCCGTGTGCATTATCCAAATGCTCCATCATGAAATGTCTGAAGAATTCCGAACAATCAAAATAAAAGACAGGTAAACGAGTAATTGTGGTTTTGTTAAGATTAAATAAAACTATAATCTAATACTGAAATAAAAACAAATGAATCTCAACAGGACGTAGAAATGTGGAAAAGACCAAAAGAAAAGAAAAAAAGGAATGCACATAATCAAAGTAAATTACAAGAATGTCTTGTCGATTTTCATAATCTTACATCCTGAAACACAAAAAAAAAACCAAATCAAAAATATTACCTCTTTGTTTTATCATACCACATTTTCTTCACATCTTCAGAAGTATTTTTTGAATGCAACCTTTCAACAAAATCTTCTTGTTTCAGAGCACAAGTCCAGTGATTAGCTAGCCCACGCTTATCAACTGATATTAACTAGAATGAAACCCATTAATAGGACAGAAATACATTACTAGAGCTCAACAATTTAAAATATGTCCCGAAAGGAAGTACTGAGCAGTGAACAAAAGGATAATAATGAGCAGCAACTAAAAGAATTTCAAAACAGCAACTGCATCATCAATAGATGACAAATTTATTCCGGATTTCATTCCTTTGTAAAGGAGAGTACCAGCTCCATGTTAAGATATCTTTATAAATATAAGCATTTCTTGAAAAGATGGTATATATTTTAGTGTTCTTTATAATTTCCAGTTTGTGTTAATATTTCAATTAAAATTTAAAATTAGTAATTGGGAAAAGTTAAAAATTACATCGTATGAGTTGTGGCAAAAATGACTGCCCACTACTTCTGCTTTATGTGCGGCCAAAGCATGCAAAAACAAATTTTTCAGAGCATCTACGGGTGAAACCACACGCACTTGCTTGTCTTCAGAACCCACTACCAGCAATCTGAAATAAAAGAAAAAATGAAGCGTTGTATAATATGAAACTTCATGAAGAAAGTTAACATAGTAATCAACAGGAAGAAGTGAGAAACCAATCCGGTAATGTTAGAAATAAGCAAAATACCTGTCATCATAGCTCCATTCAACGCTTTTCGCTTTTTCAGCAGTGATTTTATGAGTATGCAACAACATAAATGGGTTCAGCTGAAAATTCTCAATCCCTGCAACCAGAAATACTTGTACATCACCACCTCGACAAGCAGCTAATCGCCTAAAAAAATTTGTTTCTGCGCACCAAAAATAAATGAATGGTTTGAAAGACTCATTTTTACAGTAAAATACACAACTTTCAGTCTAAATACAAACCTTCCATCCATCGAAAACTTGGCATCACTAACACGAGCTCGAAAATTATGTCGATACAGAACCGTATGTGTAATTAAATTAATATACTGAGCATGTCCAACTATAAAATGAAATATTATTAGCAAATAACATCGACGTAAATAAGTATTTTAATGAGAAAAACGATATGATGAACACACATGATGAAAATATAATGATGAAAACAATGCCACCATAAGCAGTTCATTTGGACCAAAAAACTATAAGGAATGAGGGAAATACAATAAAGATTACTTAGATTAAAAGTAACCTTCATTTACTAGAAAAGCGTGCATTCCGGATGGATGAACAGTTACCAACTTAATATTGAAATTTGATTCGGTGGCAATAGTATTTGCATGGTTGCTGTAATTAACTAACATTACAATTCTCACAGTAATGTTTAGCAATTTAATTTAAAAACATACAGCACGTAAAATCGCAATGACAAAAGTAGAAGAAAACCGCAATACCAGACTCACTTTTTCAGATCAAATACTGTGACTTTATTACCAACTGGACTGATAATTGAATTACCATCAGTTGAGAATGTAACGTTGCCATCACGGTAAACAGTACCGATAAGGCTTGAAAACTAAAAAAAAAAACCGATTAAACACAACGGCCAATCTACTTTAGAGCATGCCAATCAGCTAACTCAATTTTGAAGTTTTCCAGAACAAAAACAATTCTTGTATAAAATGACTTTTGTAAACAAAATTTTTGCAAACAAACAAATAAACAAAGTTTCCCAGCGCAAGCAATACTATAACAAGCATCTTACCCCTACTTAAAGTTTATCAGAACACATATCAATTTAAAGACTAACTTTGAAATTGATGTTCATAAATGCCTTTCCTTTCCAAATAGAATTTCGATTTGAATGAAGTTTCAAAAGTAATAGAAAAAAAGATCAGTTCCTGTAAAAGATTCAAAAAGTAACAAGCAAATTTTCAGAAAAAAAATTTAATTTTTAGCTCAAGGAATGTAGAAAAAAAAGATAAAATTATGTGGCAACAAATTACCAGCATGACTTGTATATTTATCTGTACATATCCTGTACAAATAACTTTCGATGCTTTTTATTACTCTCAAATATGAATAAACTAAGTCATAACAAATTAGCATATCAAATAACAAAACTCAATCAGACAAAACAATGAGACAAGGCAAAACAAAGCCGTACATAATTTAAACAACTAGACTATTCTCCAATATATAAAACGTTGTATATATAAATAAATAGCATGCAAAGAAAGCATAAATTAATCTCTTATTATCAATGTTTACAACGATTTATTTTGAACATCGCTTTCTTTAGCGAGTTTAACTTTGCCACTGGATCCTTTCCTTTTACTTTCTATAGCATCCAACAGCAAACCAGTAAATACAACGACGGTAGCTAAAGACTGTCTCCCTGTTAGCGTATTACCAAACAAGATCACTGAACCGAGCATCGTGAATAATTTACGTGTTGTTGTTACAATTGAACAAGTGAGCGGACCAAACTCTGCTACAGTTTTGAAAATGAAGAACTGAAAGTGGTAAAAGATAATTCAAAGACTGAAAAAAATTGGTTTTCTAAATCAATTAAAATAAAGTTTCTAACTCATGAAAATAAAATAATAATAAAAAACTACATAAAAAAAAAAATGATACCTGCCCCAGAGCACTTGCAGCAGCAAGAGCAAATAATTCTATTATTATTTTCGGATAAGACTGCACAAATATCATGAAATCGAGAAATTCACCGGTTAAAAGCAGACCGACTAGAAGATATAACGAAGAAAATAAGTTCATATTATACATCATACTGTGAGCATTTGCCTTATGCCGCTGACGAATTTTGTCCTGTAATGCGCCTGTGGTACCATCCATTGCCAACGATAGCAGCTATAAATTTAGCATTTAGTCTCTCCCATTAGATTTTAATAAAATACATATAGTTTTAATAAACATTAGAAGAAAACTGGAGTACACTACAGTTTCAGTCAAATGCACAACAGATGTTCCATGAACTTTTGTAACAAGCAGATATTTATAAATGTTGAAATGAAAATCTTGTAAGATATTAAAGAGTATTGAATCAATCATCAATATTTAAACATAAACTATTTACAAGATGCAACATGTTAACACTCTAGTGATTATAAGTACTACGATAAAAATTATTCTGCAAACTCGTTCACCAGTCAGAAAAGACCTATGATGTAACTTGGTTTTACAACGGATAAAAGTAACAGCAACATACCAGTAATAGTTCACCAAAACCTAAACTGAAAGCAGATTTTCCATATGTTATATCCGTTTTTTCTTTGTACAGGAATAATACAACACCAAATACAATCATCAAAACACAGAAACATTTCTTCAAATGGTATCGTTTATTAGCGAAGAGGAAACCGAAAACCATTATGGGTATTGGTTTACATGATTTACTCAAGACCTAAATCAGATTAAATTTAAGTGAAACAATATGCAAAATAAGACTGTAGAAAAATGTTTACTTTTATTTAGAAATATCACAAACAGATACTTTCCCTACGATGACAATTCATATAACTGGATATCCGGAAGTTCATCAAGAGAAGCTTATGAATGTAAACTAATCCACATTACGATCAGAAGAGATTTTATGTCCATAAATAAACAACAAGATAAGAAGCATTGAAAAGATGCTAACCTGCGTTGGATATGGTATATACTGTAGTGCATGATTACTTGTAATCATTGCAAATAAGTAGCTAGTAGACATGATAGCATATGTGTGTGTTGGCACACTATCTTTCGTTTTATCTGTCAAAACATATGCAAATATTGTATTTACAACGCATTGTACAAATACCAGTGCTTGTGTGTATGTGAAACGTTCATTTCCATCAGAACCATATTTACCCTTTATTCTGAAATAGACAATACAATCAACATTTTTTTTTTTAATTTGAAAGTATAAATGCTACATCTTCAGCCGGATGCTTTCGTGTTCGCAAAAATAGAAACAAAAAAGAAAAAAAAAAAAGCAAAACCAGAAAGTAAGAACCATACATTGATTCTTGAATGATTCCAAACCAAAAATAACAAAGCAAAGTACCACCGGCACAAAATAATAGATTAGTTGCTTGTTTCCATAATGTTTCATTTACATAACCTTCATCTTTTAATTTCTTGCTATCACCAGTTATCGTTTCACGCATTTCTTTCATCGATTTGAAAATCGATATATATTTATATATGTATATGTTAAGATTTTGGAATATTAGTTCCCTAAAATATATGTGCTTGTTAATTCCATACAATTCTGATGAAACTATCACACGATAATCTCTTACAATTCAATCAATTCAATTCATTTCAACAACATTGAATAACAAAATAATCTTCATTGGCTAATCATCTGCAATAAATTAAATAAGGAATCATCCACTAATATAATATTTAGATTTTACTTAAGCATTTGCTACAAAGTCTATTCGTAAGGTTTCTCTCTTTCTGTTTTTCACCATACCGTTAATTAAATTTCCTTTTTTTTTAAAAAAAAAATAGCTTATTGCAAGAGAAAACTAAAAATTTGAGTGTGCATAAATTCAGAACTGGAAATAATAAAATAATTGAATAAGTTGAAACTATAAATGTAAAAAGAAAAGAGTTGTACCTAAGATTATAAGTGACACAAAAGAGAAAAAAAGTGATTGGTAAAAATCGACAGGATATGTAAATGTAAAAAAGTTGGAATAAAATCAAATAAATACTTTATCTCTCTAAAATAATATAGAGTTAAAGCTTTTTTTTTTAGAAAAGTTAAAAACTGATAAAAAATACAACGAAGAAATTTCAAAAAAAAGAAAAAGATTATTAAAGGTGCTGGGATGGTAAAAATCAACAGTATATACAGATGTAAAGAAAGGTTGAAATAAAGATTAAATAAGTAATTTAAATAAAATAAAACTATCGTTATAAAATAGCAGAGAGTTAAACCATTATTATAAAACAATACAAAAAAAAAATCCTTACTTTCATCCATTAAATCAAATAAAACAATGTTACTATTAAATATTCCATTAAATACTTAAATATTAATTGTCCATTCATTCGTTTTGTTATGTCATTAATTGAAAATACAGTGATTTCTTCTTCTTTTGTCTTTTCTTTTTTTCAAATTTACCTTACCTAATGCTTATATTATCGATATTCATTATGAAAAAAAAATTGGCTACTTGCTCCCAAACCTCTAATGAAATCCTGCAAATAGGAAATCATTTTGAAACCAGAACTACTCATGCAGCTCAATATCAATCGTTACGGGAGCAATGGTTATTGACGATAATTGGGATTCGTTGTGTTGGTACTTGTCGGTGTCTCTCCTCTCTCTTCCTTCTTCTTTCTTTTTTTTACCTAATTTTGTTGAGTTTTATTGAGAAGAATAATATAACAATTTGATTGCTTTATTACTTTATATCTTCCATTCATTATTATTTATGTATTTTCATCTATAATAATTTAATGCTAATTCATTTATAGGTTATATTATTATATCATATTCAAGGAGTGGTAATAGAGTGATGTTTTGAAGCTTTATTTTATTATTTTACTTGAGAACGTATAAATAGTACTTTCTCAATTTATTTGATTGTTGGTTTTGTACCTTCAACTAAAGAATTTATGGGTAGACTTAATCATATTTTTTATTGCTAGTTTCTTAACACAAATATAGATATGTGACTTGTAGTGTATGGTTTTAATGAGATAATGAAATTTTTTCTGCTGTTGATCATTGTAGTCTTTATTGTTTTCGAATGTTTGTTTATCTTTTGTTTACGTATCTTTTTGTGCAGGTCTTACTGATAACAAGTATATTTCGGGATTCATAACTTGTAACTACTCGATGGATGAAAGTGAAAATGCTGTGATGGAAGGCAGCCGGCAGACACGGGGTGACGATAACAATGAAGGGATATATGCAAAAGAAAACGTTACGCATAAGAATGAGAAAGATGGGCTTAGGACTGAAGACGGATGTGGTATCCGTGCAAGTGAAACTCCTCAGATTGCGCATGAAAAATTTGACTCCTCGGAGCACGCTGCAGTAGCAGCAAAGGATGGTGAAGAAGCAGTTGTAGACAAAACATGTTCGCAGTCTGGGACAAGTAAAAATGGAAGTTTTGGTACTGAACATTTCGATGCTATTAATCAGAGTGTTCAAGAAAATCAATATAATGATGAAGGTAGTACTGGAAAGCAAAGCTCGTCAGAAATATCGGAAAATAAGGTAACATGTTTACTTAAATTTATATCTGGCATAGTGTATGTTATTAAATTTTGCCTAAATCCAATTTCAAAATGCAAAGGTATTATGGATAAATTCTTTGTTTGTCATTTACTTTTTTCTCAAATCTAAAGCACTCATTTTAGGTTCTCGAAACTACTCATGACAGTTCAGAGACAGCAGAAGCTCGAAATATTTATAATGCTGGAAAGTCGCACTCACAAGGTTTTTAGTTAACTAAACTAACTTTAATTAGATAAAACAGGACGAGCAAAATAAATTAGAGTAAACTCAAGTATTTTGAATCTTAAATAGTCTCAGCTTTTTTTTTCATGGACTTATTGTTCTTTATTTATATTTAGTTTTATTTTAAGAGGTTAACTTTCAAAGTGGTGAGTGAGCAATTCAAGTAATTGCTTAGTATTACCGAAATGATTGTTTTAACTGGATAATAATCCTATTTCAAGTTCTGAACTAGTTCTCTATTAGATTACCGTCCAGTATTATGTAAGGAGAACAGAAGTAAGATATAATGAATTTTAAATGAACTTTAGAATTAGAAAAGTAAGTTCAACCTTGGCATTCAATTTAATGTGTCTGAAGAGTGAAGGAAGTATTTTGAGATGGCGATTGTTTTGTCTTTAATCATTTTAGTTTCAGTTCCGAAACACTATGTCCCTCCAGGTTGGATATATCACGGCGAAAGTGATGGATATCGATATTATATAGGTTGTGCAGGAGAGGTAAGTGTCAGTATTTTTGGCTAATTTTAGTGCTTGTACCAGTTTTATTTTTTGATTCACTTGAATATCCCAAAATGGTTTGAACGAAAAATTAATCCTCAAGTTGTTAGAAAATATATACATTTTGATTAAACAGTAATCTTTATTAACATAATTTTGAAATGAAATTTCTACATTGTTCTTCTTAATAGGTAGGTAGCCATATTGATGATTAGTTATGGAAATACGTTTATTTTGTTTGACTGGTTGCTTTTTTGCTCAGTTACATTTTCTGCTTGCTGTAGTGAGCGGTCGGTTGGCCATGCGTTTCTTTAACTCTAGGGCATTCGTACGACCAAATATCCATCATCATATTACATTTTCGGTTTGCTATTAATTTTTTTATAAGTTTCTAATCTTGTATATCATTGGAACTGCCATTTCAAAAATTTTAGCAATAATAGTTTATTGAAATAATATTGTAAACTGATGTTTCTTCCCTTCAAAGCTTTCCGTAAGTTAAAAAGAGCGGAAGATTGGAAGGCCTTCATCGAATCTATCTGAACACCGTTTCATAATACGAATTTATATAAACATATATACGGAGTTACTTACATGATCGGTCCAGAAATAGATCAGTTACATTAGAAATCTTAAGCAGCATCAGATAGTGCTACGAGATGTCCGATCTAGGTTGCCTATGAAATGAACAGTTTAGACGGACTTTTTGTTTTATTTTTGTCTCTTTCAGAGCTCATATTATGTAATAGCCCATCAACTGACTGAAAAATTTCTGGTAGTTTTAAATTGTAATTTAAAACTTCTGCAGATGTCTTGAAATGTATGAAATATGTGTAAAAAAGTGAAGCATTCTAGTAACATTTTTGGAGGTAAAAGGTTTTTTTTTTCAGATGTATTCGGTGGATAGAGATGGCTACTGGTACATGCAGGATGGCAGTGGCAATTTTATCCCATACAATGGTTATCAATATAATCGCGGAACACACAGTTCTATATTTCCACGTGATAGTCAAGGACGGTTCATTTTGCCAACAAATGCGCGTGGTGAAAAAGCTTTTCCAGTGGATACAAATAATATGCCAATTTTCCCGTTCGATACAACAACTCATTTGCCTACTTTTCCTGTAGATGAAAACGGGCAACCTGTGTTTCCAACTGGTGCTCTCGGCAGACCCATTGTACCGATCGATACAAACGGTAGTTCATTTTCTTTAATAAATCTAAAACCTGTTTCTTTCAAACTAATGTAGAAATCTCAGTTCAAAATTATTTACATGTCAAGAAATTTTTTGCTCAATATTTCTCACTTAGCTACAGAATTGGTTAAATTGCAGCATGTTGCACTGATTTTTTCCAGCAATTCTTATATGCATTCTTGTTTTTCCGTATTGTCACTGATCATTTTAAGCCTTTCTTTTTAAAGCATACTTATAAACTGCTTTTTTATCCCAACTGTATTTCTCTTTACATAAATTCAGTTATGTTATGTCTGTTTAGATAAGTATGAGCATAAGATCATCTGCGCTGTAAAATTAATACATTCAAACTTCCGAAGATTGATGCTTTGTCAGGAGCAGTGATAGTAATAAAGAGATAAGAACTGCAAAAATTAAAGTGTAGTTTTTTAATCCATTTTTTTATACTATAAATTTAATGTGCTGCAATTAATTGAAGCTATATTGTAATTAAAATTTTATTCTTAATTTTAGTGCATTTTTTTTTTTTTGCAGGCTTGGCTATATTTCCTCGTGATGCAAATGGTCGATTCATATTTCCTTCTGGGCCGAATGGCAGGCCCACAGCACCTGTGAATATCTATGGTATTACTTAATTTTCTTCTAAATCTTGAACAACAAGCTAAATTGTATAGCTCACCTCTGAAATAAATTGTTATATTAATGACAGTGGCATTTTATCATTCTAATGATATAAAAGATTCATTGCAGGTGTTCCAGTAATGCCGTTGGATGAACAGGGAAAGCCAGTAGTACCGTACGATGCGAGTGGAACACCTCTCATTCATTTAGCCAGTGATGGTAGTTTTGTTATCCGTGTTTCAGTGCTTTTTATCATGAAACATTTTAGCTTATGTTTAGCCTTTTCAGTCTACGGTTAGTTTGGGCAACCAAAAACAACAGTCAGAGGAGTGCGGCCAGTGCTACTATAGCGGCGCGTATTGCATCACTACAGTCATGTTCTGTTCTTCCTTTACTATGATTTGTTTTTCGTTGTAAATTCTTTTCTATGAAAAATGGAACAGAAGGCACTGAAAGGATAGAAAAGTACTAGCGTAAATTGGCATTATTGGTATTTGGCTCGATTTGTAGGCATAAATCGATGTTTTCTGTGTGTGTGCTAGAAGTGGAATCGAGCAAATCAATGATCCGCCTCGAATGTTACTCGCCTGAGCCGAAACTCTCTGAGGCTGTACTGTATCAGTGCCTGAAAAAGGCGAAAAGTGGTAAAACGAAATTACGACTTAATGGGTAGGCTTTTGTTATCTGTTATTTAGTTTTGCTACTCTTATATTTTACAGGTATGACTCCTCTCACTGAAGAAGAATATCAGTACTCTTTGCAGTGGAACGACTATTACAATCGTTATTATAAGAGCACCGCAGAACAAGTTTGTTGTCTTTAATTTCTAAGTTGAATATAATATAAAATCAAATTAGATCTGCAGAATTGCTAAAAATTTGCAATGATTGGGTCGTGCTACAGAGCGTTTCCATCTCTCTATTAGCTATCATTCGTTCTAATCTTTGAATGTAATTTCTAATGTAAAACTTTCCTTGTATTATTGAAATTATAATTTTGAATCTATACATAATTCAGAAAGTAAGCAGTTCAAGTCATTCTGAAGTGCAACCGACTGCTACGAACGATACATATGAGCAGAAAGCGAAGAATATGAAATTGCTAAAAAAGGTGAACAATTTCAGTCAAAATTTCAATTTAAATCTTGAAGGGATATTAATAGAAAAAATCTGACTTGGTTTTCTATTTCACTTCAGTATTTCTGATCGAATTTCAGGTTCGGCCTGAAGACATTGATTTGCCGCCGTGTGTCCCACCTCCACCATCAACACAGCCTCCACCACCAGTTTCAGATGGATCTGCTTTATCTGGTGATGTGGAGAAAAAAGCAACTCCTGACCCTGCTTTGAAGGCAAAAACCAAAAAAATGATTGAAATGCAACTAAAATTCTCGCGCAAAAAGTTTCGTGATGTAGCTCATTCCTCAGTTGCAGTATTGCCCTCTAACGAATCGATAAATACATCCGCTGAGCATGCACTATTACCTCGACAGCCAAGCGATTCGCCGGAAAATATTGGCAAAATAGAATCACCAAAGGAACGGCCTCCTCCTCCTCCGACGCATGCTCCAACACCAGACCTATCCATAGCTGTAGAACCTGATAATACTGAAGTTATTAAGTCATTTAATATGGCACTTACTTGTTCACCGAAATCACTGGATTCACAGATTATGCAAAAACTGGGCAGAAATTTTAGTGATGATTTAGAAGTGAAGATGCAAAACGTCGTCCTGCAATCAGAACCTGCTTCAGTTATTATGAATGTACCAGGCAAAGAAGTCAGAACATATGGTGGTGTGGAAAACTTTGAAAATCCGAAATTATTCCCAGATTTGTATGGGAATTTAAGAAATGAATTTCAAGCGAATAGTGAAGCCTTCGGGAAAGTGATTACGACGAAATTAGATGAGCGAATGTCTGGATCGGGGAATGAATTCATTTCTGCAAAGCAGCCAAAGTTTGTTTTGACAGACAGTTCGGTTAAGCTGAACGCTGTCTCAGAAAAAGAGCCTCAAGATAAAGAAGATATTGAGGAAGAAAAGGTTCTCTTATACTAATCCATGTCATTTAAATTTTCTATGGAAGCATAGGATTAGAATTCTTTTGAAATGAGTAATTTATAAACTATTTGATTATGCTAGAATCGAATAACGACTTTTCAAGATCAGTCCACTTATTTTACAGCAGTATTTCATCAGTATTTTATATCAGTGAAACGAATTGAAATTACATGGTTTAGGTGGCAACAAGAACAAAGCTATCTGTCGACTATGAGTCAAAAATCGAAAATCAGGCATTGCGAAAACGTGATGACAACGATGAATCTATTTCGATATCACGTGAAAAACGTTCCGAGAAAAAAATGCGCCATCGTGATGAGTCGAAAGGGAAAAGAAGGAAACGAAGAAGGTAGGTTTTAAATTTACAAATTACTGACGTTGTTTCTTCAAAAGAATCATTCTGTGTGTATCGTTTGTACACTTCTTTGTAAATAAATTCTGGTAGATCGTATGGATTTTAATGATGAGCAAATTTTTAAGTGAAAGCAGGCATAGACGCTCACGAAGTCGATCATCATGTCGTGATTCACATCGTAGAAGTCGTTCTCGAGGGATAAAACACAGAAGCCGAACTCGTAGTCGTACACCACGTGATCATTACTATCGTAGCAGATATCGGTCTAGAAGTCGAGATCGATTTTACAGACATGAAGGTTCTCACTATGATCGTCGTAGTTACCGACGTTATTGGACCCCTGAAACTGAAGAAAGATATCCATATCGAAGACGTCATTCCTCCTCTAGAGGCAGATCTTCACGACATGAAAGGTCATCAACTGATTTTGTTGTGTTTTATACATTCTCATAAATTTTAAAGCTTCCCTATCTTGGTGGCTACATATTCAAATTACTTAAGTTTTGAAATTTTTCAAGTACATTTTTATAAAACGTTAAGCATCATTTGGTGTTAATACCAAATTCGATTTTCAAGGGAAAATTTTGCGGATTGTTTCAATTACTATATGCCATTGCTGTTAAGGAACGTTACCCTAGTGCAAAATGTCTTCAGTTTTCCTTGAATTATTTGTTGTAAATTGGAGTAATCTTCAGTTTTCAAAAAAGGCATTGAAAATTTTGCAGGAGTACAAGCCGGGATTTAACGCCAGCAGGTGACAAATCAAGCAGAAGCCGTAGTTATTACGAACAGTCAAAAAGTCGGACTGAATCACCAATTGCTTCGCGGCACTCCTCCGTTGCACGTTCTGGTTCACAATGTAAGACTACAGATAGTCGTAATCGGAGCTCTAGTCGCCATAATTCTCCGGGTAATGTTTCATACTTTTAAATTCTCAAAATCAATAGATTTGATAAACATAACGTTTCAGAAAAATTTTTTTTTGATAAATTTGATAAACATAACATTAAAAAAAATAAACAATAGATTTGATAAACGAGCTCTAATCGCCATAATTCTCCGGGTAATGTTTCATACTTTTAAATTCTGATTTTTTGATAAATTTGATAAACATAACATTAAAAAAAATAAACAATAAATTTGATAAGCATAACTTTCAGAAGAAAAAAAATTTCTTCAAAAAATTTTATTTGTCACAGATTCGTAATTTCATAAATTTGTTCAAATTCGATGTTCCAGAAATCATAGAGCATAAATCTGGAAAATCACCAGAACTAGCTGAAGATCTGGAATCTATTGAGGATACTGTTGATGTGCACAAATCATCCCATCACTCAGCAAGCCCCGGCAGTGAAAAGTACAGTTTTTAGATTTATATTACTGAGTGTTGTACAAATTTATGCGCCAGATGACTTATTTGCATATAAGGTCAAATGACGATTACAAAGCCTTTCAGGGGGAGATCTGATATGTGGAGAGATTAACGGACATATCCATGAATGATGAAGAGGCGAAGTCAGTGAAAAAGATAAAATCTAACTTCAAGAAGGGATATTCCCTTCTTGGTTTGAATTTCAGTAATTTATTTAGGAAAAAAGAAAATTTAGATTTGCTCATAATAATATCGCGATTTTTAGGAGTTCGGTAAAAGAGCTCGACATGTCAGATAAAAAATCAAAGAAACACAAGAAAACCAAAGAAAAGCATAGAAAAAGAAAAAAGAGTCACCACAAGAAGTGAGTTACACTAGTGGATTTTATTATTTTTCTCATCAAAGCTGTCACCAATTTATTAAATTTTACATGATATTTAAACGGTATTTTTTAGGAGAGAGAAGAGAAAGTCAAGCCCGTTTATGGTTGAAAGTGAATTAGATGACAAGTCAGTCCTGTCGAAAGAAGCAGATTTGAATATGTAAGTATAATCACTTTCATATTAATTTTTGTTTCAACTTTACCTTTCCTTTTCCTATATCCGCCACTGATCTTATTTCCGTGGCTAATGTTCCCTTCATTTAGAACGCAGTTTGTTCGCTTATATATCTTTATTTTTAATAATTGGTGGCAGATTTTTTTCATTTCAGGAATGTATCCTTAAGTCATTTTGAGGATGAAAGAGCAGAAGTATCTTGTAATACGAAAAAAGAACTGAATGAATGTAAAAATGTAAGAATATTTAATTAGTTTTTTCTAACCACTGAGAATTTGAAGTTGAAAATGATAAATGAAAGCCTTTATTTGTTAATTTCTTGCAGGAGAGAGCAAAAAAGAAGAAGGAGAAAAAAAAGAAGAAAGAACGTCGCAATACTAGCACAGAAAGAAATGTTGTCACGAAAAAGATCTCAAACGAAACACTGGAAGATGGTGAAATCATAACGGGAAAGGATACATCACCAAGGTAATTTTTATTTCATAGACTTGTTCCTCTTTTTTTTTTTTTTGATTTTTGCTTTCTGATCATTCGTTATACTAATCAAATAAGTATTGTTATATGTTTTTGTTTATTCAATTTATTATTATTGGATTTCAGCATATTCAATTATGTACATATTTTTGCTGTTGAGAATTTAAAAATATAATAGGAATATAAGATCAAATTAGTTAAATATATATATAAATATAATTTAAAACACTTATTCTTTTAATCATTTTATATCTGAACTAATTGATCAATTTTATAGACAAAATTTGATCCATTCCAGAACAAGGGAAAAAGTGGTTAATTATGCAACGTCTGAATCAGAAGAGGAAAACGGTAATGCAGGAGAATGGAAAAAACCTGCCGAACAACTAGCCGAAAACTGTAATACAAAAGTAGATGTTTTGATAAATTTTAATTTGCTAAATGTTTTTGCGGAAAATTTTAATTTTTATAGTTAGCGCTTCTTTTATGCATTAACAATTAAGAATTCAGAGCTGATAAGTAGAAAAGTGAAAGAAAAGAATAACAGTATGATACAAAAGCAGCATTCCTAATTTACACTGATCAAATTGGCTCTTTTATATCTTGGCAAACGATATAAGTTCAATTAAAAAGATTTCTGTTTTATTGTTTGCTTAAATGGAAACTTCTTCATAGTTACCTTTACACAACAGAAGAAATTGTAAAGCAATTTTTTTTTATTTTTACTTTTTTTTGAATGAATATATTCTTCAGAGTATTTCTCCTACAGTGAATTTCACAGTGAACTCTAAAGCGACAGATAGTGCTATCAAACTTAGAGAGGAATTCAACAGTGCTGACATTATTCGATCATCAGTTTTGTCATTCGATTTTGTTGATGAGGTATGTTTACAACTGGTTTTCTGCGGTTTTATTTGTTTCCATCCAAACAAAAATACTTCTTATAATAGACGGAATTTGAAAAAAACAGACAAAAACTTTATTGACTATAAAAATTATACCAAAAAAAACTTGTTAGTATAAGCTGCATGTGAGTTATTTTAATTTTATTAATTATAATACATAAAGTATGTTTGTTTTCGATAACTTTGAGTTGTTATATTACAGATACTGAAGGTTCCTGGTGATAATGCCAATATTTCTAACTTGGAAAAGAAAGCGAAACAAAATTATGAGCCGGTGAATCCTAAGAAAGAAACAAAAATTACAGTAGATCTCGAAGATGATGGGTAAACCTTTTCCTCAATTTGAAACCAGCAAACTAATATCTTTGATAAAAATTCTTTGCACTTTTTTTTTGACATTTCCTAGAAGTCACTTAATGTTGTTTCGAATTGCCTTTTAATGTAGATGTTATCAAATCATTTCCAAATATTTGTAGGATTTCAAGTAAACTTAAAGATTTGAACAGCGACTTCAATGAAATTACTGCTCGAGAAGCAGAAAAACTGAAATCGGGTAATATCGCGGAGGCAATGAATAAGTTGAAGGAACTGCGCGGATATGTCAAGTCGAAAGTGACCGTTTCAAATTCGGCCACTGAAACAGAAGTAATAAAAGAATTTAATCAACCAAGTGGTAATGATTCTACATTTACTGGGCACAGTTTAGCCGATGTTCCGTTACCAAAAGGAGTGCAAGTGGCAGTTGATGTTATGGAACGAACTGAACAAATTGCGACACCTGAAATTCGAATCCAAGAAGCCTGTACAAGTGCTAAGATAGATTTAAAGGATAGGGATGTGAGGAGAAAAAAAGAAATGCTTAAGCGAAAGTGGGAAGAAGATGAAGAAGATGAATTGAGCAGATTAAGGTATCACCGCATTTACTAATTTATCTTTAATAAACTCTCATTGAATTTTAATTAAAATTCAATTTGTAACATTAATTTCTGGCAATTCTTTTCTGATTGCCTCTTTCTGATTCAAACTCAATATTTGTATGTTGCAATTTGATAGATTCAGACTTTTGTGTATTATTCCCATATCAGTGAGACTGTTAACTGCAAGTATCTTCCAGATATGAAGCATTGCGAAGCAAAACAAGAAGGTTGATGAACGATCTAAGGGCTGAACGGCGTCGTCTGAAAAGAGAGCGCTTACGTGCTACTATCGCAATGCGGCGAGCTCGTGAGCGATCGGTTGATACTAGTGTTGATGAAATTTTGCTTGCCGATACTTCAGACAGTAGCGAAACAGATGATTCGGAGGACTATTCATCTTCACATAAGGTTGATTTTTTTTTTGTTAAATTATTACAGTTCTATAGATTCTGTGAATGCCATTCCCTTAAGATGCTAGCAAAATACATATTTTACAAGCGTTATTTGCAATTAATGTCGTTAACCGGTAAGGGTAAATTATCCAGTGTATCGAATGACATACATCTGAGTATTAAAAATGAATTTATCATTATCTTCTTTTAACTATTAAACGTTATGACTTTTTAATTGAAGGATAATTTAGGTTATGATTTTGTATATTTTTGAATGATTTTTAGGATTATTTGTATTTTCACAGGCAGTAAGATTAAAATTGATATTCAAGGAACCTTCCAAGTAATATAATATTTTGTTTAATTCCACCTCATTTGTGATTTTCGTGTAGTCCAAAAATTTTTGATTTTTTTTTTTTTTTTTTTGAAATTAATATCACACCATTACAAATGAAACAGTATGAGTTAATTGAGCAAAAGTCGTTCATGTGATATCCGTTGAATATTTTGATTTTTTTTCATCACTTGGTCCATCTCAGTCAATAAATGAACTTATCTAAAAAAGAGAAATGAAAAAGACCATTTTTTTTTTCCTTTTTTGCTCAATTATAGTGTTAATTTATTGCTGCTGTGCTGCGGTGCCATTGTTTGATGATATTCCCATTTTATGAGTTTTTTATTTGCTACAATCAAAGGAAACGCGCTGCCACGCAGATCATGAAGCTTTAATTTGATTGTTTTAAGTCATCCAGCTGGTTAGGCTAAGTCATTGTTTCGAAGTGAAATTAAACTAAACATGAAACTGAATGTTGTGTGTAAGTGAGAAACATTTGAATATATAGTCGTAATGTTCTTTTCTTTATGGAGTCTTTGCAGTTAAACTGGACGGATAGAATACAATTTAAGAAATTGTTAACATGTTCTCTTTAACATTTTTGTTTGAAATATATATATATATATATATATATATTTCTCTTAAAACGGAGTACGGAAAAGTTGTTATTAAAATGAGTAAAATTGGATGTGTGAATATATTGGTGATTGATAATTTATATAGCAGATAATTGAGGAATTATGTGGGACTGGAATTAACTTCATTCGATATTAGAAGAAAGAAGATTTGATTATTAAGTATAACGCCATTGAATGCTAAATAGTCATATATGAGCTTTTACTCACCAAAATTTTACATTTGATCTTAAGATATAAAAAAAAATCGTGATTTGATCATTTGATTCATGTAAACAAGTAGTAATCCCATATTTGATAATTTAAACTTAGTATAAAGCGACATTATTGTTTATTTTCTATCTGAAATTGCGTGAAATTTCTCATAATGTTTTTCATGATTCAATTTCAACAATTTCGCTTCCTATATTAGCATTAAAAAAAAGATCATTGAAGATCATTCTATGTTTTTTTTTCAGTTATTCGTAAATCAATGAAAGCATAGTATATGTGTATTGTTTGAGATAATCATGTATTAGATAACCCATTGAATTGGAGCAATTTATCGGGAAAATTGCCACATTTCTCGTCTCATCATCTTCCAAATAGCTACTGCTATCGTAGAGGGTCATCACATAACATTATCCGGAATGGGTATTGCGACTTTGCTTTCGCTGATCATGTGCCTTCAAGCTTTCCACCCATCTTCACCATAGTGTCATTTTCATTCTTCTTACTCTGCATGGTCGGTATATTCAATTTCAAATATAAACTATTTCATACATTTTGTGCTGTTAATCTTTTCAAACAATTTCACCTACTATATTGGACATTTTTTGAAATTCTCTTCATTTAAAAATTTTACAAGTCTTTGAAAAAATTCAAGAAACACGTGTAAATTTGACGATTAAATCTTTCATAACATTTACAGTTGGAAGTGAAGAATTTATTCGAGAAGAGTTTTAAGAATAAACTTAAAGGATCTTTCCATAAGATTACAAAATCTTTGAGGATTAAGTTTTCAAATTCTGAATTTGTTGTATAAGATTATATCTCCTAAGAAAGATGAATCATTGGCTGTTTTAGGAATTATCTGTTCATTTCATCTTTCAAATATGTATAATTACTTTTATTTGTTGTTCATTGTAACAGGGACAAGTGTATAGGACCACTGCAATCCTGCAAGATAATGCGATTGTTCTGAGTTATCTCTTATCCCTTGCACTACCTCTTTTACATTAAGAGTTCACTTCTAATTACTCAACTTTAATGTTTCAGATATTTACCATCAATCATGGGATACGGAATGCCACCTAACATCTGAAAAGGGTACCTATTTTGCCATACACTTCATTAAGCAGCTCTAGTAAATCTGTAATATAACTTTCTTGCAAATACATTCGTTTCATTTATTACCATAATGAATCATATCACGACTTATCTACTAATCTATTTTTGCTTTTATGCATTCCAGTAGTTCCTCATTTGTATCTATCCATTTCTTCAGTCACTTTTTGCACAGCAGATTTTGTCTTTCTGATGATTCATGCTTTATCAGTATTATTTACTTGTAAAAAATAATCCGTCTAATTCGAAGAAGTTTAATCTTGACTTTTACGAAAGATTTTCTTTGGTAAGGAGAAAGACTGGAAACTCAGTTGTAAAAGTAGTTCCATTATATAGTTGTGAGGATAATACTACTTTGGAAGCCTACCGAATATGAAATGGGCTAGAGTTTTTCATTTAGAATGTTTTAGGAAAACTAATATATTCATTGTGAAAAAAAAAAAAAATATTTAACTAATAAAGAATAGGGGGAACTTTGGTTAAAAATATATTTAACCCTCTACTTTTATTTCACTAAATTGTTGTCTTTCAAGACATTTTCTCAGTCTTAATCACATAAATTGGCTAACAAAATAGTACTATTTTAACTTTTTTTTGTGGTTTTTTCTTGAATGAATTTAACAATGGTACTTTATTGAAGTACCATTCTTTTCAACACTTCATTTTACCATTTTGTTATTCCATTTCTTTACCATTTATTGCTTATGTAGTTTGCATTAAACATTCTTCAGTTTGCTTTGCTATTGATTTCTAAAATTTGTTCTTACCTTGAAAAGAATGTTTTCAAATTGAGAAAAATAGTTAGAAATTCTTTCAGACAAAAAAGCGGAGTTGGAAAACTTGTGATGATGGTTTGTTCACGTTTCTAATCTTTTTCTCGCTACCGTACCCCTCTCTTTGCTCATCATCGAATCATCTGCTATCATTGTCATATTTTATAAAAAAAAAAAAATAGGTAAAAAAAAAGAGAAAAATTAAAACATTCTTTTTGTTCTCCTACATTTTAAAGAATTTCACCTCCTTTTATTACCAATACTTCTAAACTTTTTTTCAATTATTTTTTGGGATACTGATTCGGGTATATTTTATATTCCATCTTATTCTCTCCTTTGATTTTTTTTTTACAGTTCTTGTTCTTCTTTTCCATCATGTGACAAAATATTTTCTTGCTATACATAACTAAACTGGCACTCACTATGATTTTTCTTTTTTCTAGCTCATATATTTCATCCTTAGAATTTGTTACTCTACTCTTGTAAAAATTTCCAGTTTTACCATGGTATTTCTGCTACCTTCAAATACCGTAGTTCCATTCACAGATATTTTAGCAATAATTTGTTTCCTGGGAATTTTTGTCACTTCGAAAGATATATGTGGAATGGTGTTACAGTATCATTTGTCAGTAATTTCTCAAGAAGGAAATGTGAACTGTTGAAACATTAACAAATTTTTGTCATAGGATTCCAGCAGAGAATAACTTGTTTGGGTGATGCTTTTGAAAAAGAGTTTCTTTTTTTTTTTTGAAGATTAAGATTTAATATATTGTTTTCTTGTCTGCTTTTAGAATTTCCTGAGTATGGTCAAATGATCTGATTGATCTGTTCTTTTTATTTCTGGTTACTGTAGTAATGTCATGTTACAGAAAATTGTCTAAGCGACATAATGTATTTCTAAGTCAAAAGAATAAGGAATCATGATAGCTAAATCGTCATTTCATATCGTTTTAGTTTTTTACCAAATATATATTAGTAATTTAAGCTACCACACTCGACACTTTTGATAACAAGGACTGAATAAATTAAAAAACTGTTTATATATCAGATATTCCATTATCGATATTTTGTTCAATTATGGATATTATTTTTCTTCTATAGAGAAGTGTACAATGATTGTGTACTAAAAGTGATTAGCAAAAGTTTGGCGAAGTAACTGATGTTTCTTTTTAAGTTATCATATAAGATCATCTATTCTTCCTTTTCTATTTTATTGTTCGCAGCTCCCCTATTAGTTATAATAATTTGCGGAATACAGTGTTAATAATATATAAAGTATGCTTTATCAATGAGTTTTTTTCTACATTACTATTGAAAAGGTTGAAAGAGAGGATGGGATGGAAAATTTTTATCGAACTATTATTAGCTTATCTATGCAAAAAAAAGAATTTTTACAGATGGTAATTTTTTTTTTGTGATACTTTTTAAATCATAAGTAAATAATTCTGATGTGGAAAAGGTGTGCCAGACTCCATTTCTCAGACTAGATGATCAGCGCATTTTATGAGACTTTTTTCCGTGGTTTAGTGCCAGTGAAGCATGAGACAAATATTTAACATCTGGAAGTTGTTTATTCTTCTATTTATAATAGTACCGTAAACCCAAGTTATGCATACACATAAGTTTTCGTTTTCCTTTTTTTTTTTTTTTTCTGCTGATTTACTTTATTAATTGAAGAATTATTCATATTGCAGAGGAAACTGCTGAAACGAAAACGATATGCTGGAAGAGAAGCTGTCATTATGCACTCCAACCAGTAAGAATAATTCTTTTTTTTTTTCTTTAATGAAAATAAGTAATTACAAGAGAATTCTTTGGATACAAAAAATTTCAATCTTGAAATGGTTGACTTTTTTTAGTTTTAAAAATGTGAAAATATAACATATACGGTAACTTCTTTACATATATTGCTTCTTCATTTAAAAGAATCTCCGCTTTTGAAAATGCGATAATTCAGAGGGACTTAAATCTTTGTACAGTAGACAGTGTGGCGTTGCTAAAACGGTTCTTAATAGTTCACGTTTTGAAGGGCATTTTTTTTTTAACATTAACGGTTTACTCTTTTATTGGCTAACTTTGAAATGTGACAGTTTCACGCAATTAAAGAAAAATATCGGATTTCGGAATTAATATGAAGATTGAAATTTGCCCGTCAAATGATAACCAAAACGTTACTGCATATGTTTCTACCCCCAAATTAAGTATATTAGGAAATTTATATGGATAAATTTGTGTCTGTGCTAC